TTGGGGTGTTCGAATTGATTCCGGACCGATCACAGAGGTCGTGGTTTCACTGGCATGGCTTGCAAGATTTTTGATAGAAGCAAACTGGTCCCGTGTAAAAATAGCCTTAAAGAGAGTGTGAAAATTTGTTGAGATCGTACAAAACAGGATTGTACTACCCATTAACTTCTACAGGACAAGAATCAAAGAACCAGTCATCATAACAAGAATAGAAAGTAGTTCAAATTTATTAACTTTTCTTGATTGTTTTTTTGTGTTGTTTCGCGTTTACTTCACGCATCTGGTGCTTTCTTTGCTTGCTGTAGCACCTGCAATGTTTTAATTTTATCCCAGATAATCATTGCATGTTCAATGAGTTGCGAAATACATCATTTATAATTGAGATTTGCCTTGTTTCCTTGATTGTTTTTTAACGGTGGATGAACATTTGGAGAATCCAACAACATTAAATCTTTCCAGATTGGTGAATTTCAGAAACAAAGCGGTTAGTATCTACCTTGCGGTTATGATCTTCAATTTCATCTCCGCAAATTCGGCAAAGTGAGGCGAGATGTTAGACGTGAATATCCATCAGATCCATAAGACTAATAAAGTTGTTTTGGCCTTGAAAAGAAAAAAAGGCAAAGGCTCGTACTAATGCAAAAAAAAGTAATAACACTGCTCTGTGAGAAACCCGGGAGTGGAAAACGTACGTTTTTTGGACCTCGGAATTCAAAAATTGTCTACCAAAATTCTAGGTTGTCTACCATCTCCACATTCCACATGACAAAAGTTAATCGATATGACAATAGAGGAAAAATATCTAGAACTTCGTAAAAAATCTGTGAATCGAAAAAATAATAGATACTTGTTCACCTACCTTGAAAACCGACTAAAATCTCGCCTATACATCGCGTTGTTTAAAAAGATAAAAGAAGAAATAAGCCACAAAATGCGCTGAATATTTCACGAGACACTTCCAATATGGCTTCCGATACGCTGTCCACTCAAAAAAATTGTGTATGCCTCATGAAAAGTCTTAAAAATATGCCTGAGAGCCCCGAAACGATGACTGATTCTGTCCGACTCCGTCTGTTGTTTTGAAAATTTTTGATCACTGAGGCGATGTTTTGATTTGTTTGTTGATAAACACAAGCGCCCCTTCTCATTGATTGAAAAGTGTCGCGTGACCAGTTGGCCCTGTCCTTAAATTTAGGGATATTCCGGACTGAGAAATAGAAGGACATCGAGAGTGCCAACGGCAGACCTACCTGGAGAAGACTTATTAAACTGTGCTGAACCCCAGAACAGTCTAAGTCGAACCGACTGACTGACTGCGATGACGATGATGATGATGATGATGATGAATTAGCAGAGAAGTGTACCGTGGCTCACGGGCTCTGATAATAAGGTTGGGGTACCTGTGGTTCTTAATATTTCCAAAAAAATATTATCGAACGTAGGGTGTTTAGTTCTTTGCAATCAAATGCCTATCTACTTCAAGAAAACTAAACTCCTCCACTTAAGACAAGTTAACATCATGCTACGACGACTGATACCGTACCGTCAGAAGTATTTTTTTTCCGGCTGAAAATTCCAGATTTAGAAACAAAAAAAAGATTTTCTGTTCCTTTTTTTCTATCCTTTATTTAGCTTGAACTGAATATGTGTTTTCTCTTAAAAAGAAAACCTCATCTACTGGTAAATAACCAGAATTACTTGAGCTATAGTTCTAGCGACTGAGTCATACAACTCGTTTGTTCCCACTCCGGCCACTGACGAGCCTTTCAGCGTCCCTGAGTATTTTGTTATTCTTTCTAGTTGTTACCTGGGAAACCCAGCCATGATTTAAAAGTATTTTGTGAAGCCTTGAATTCTAATAGGCAGAAAATGTAAATTTGAATCCATGACAGTGCGATATAGATAAAAAATGAGATGTTTTCATATTTGAATAACTTGTTCTGGTAAGCAACAAATTTAAAAAGATAAAATGAGGAGTACAAGAGGTCTGATTGCCAAACTGTCAGTATGGATTTTGGTCATGTACCTTGTGGTACAATGTGGGTTTTTTGTCTACAAACTGGAAAATAGATCGGTAACAGGTAAATTTGTTGAATATGTCCGTTCTTTGTTCTTCTAAACAGCGTGTGGGCTAGGCCTTTGTTTTTCAGAGTTCATGGTTACAGCCAATGGTACACAGCTTATAGAACAATACAGTAAAACAAGATAAAGCATCCGCAGTATATTGGTGGATTTTTTGCTAGCTTCCACTGGCGTTTTCACTCATTTATATAGCTTCATTTGTACCATTATCTCGAATTCGAAATTTTCGGCTATTAGAGTTTACGTTTCCGAGTGAAGTAAAGTGTCGGGTTAGAATTTTGAAGCTAGGGTCTTGCAGTCTTGTAAAGTCTCGAATTTACCAGTGAACATCCCAAAACAAGAAAATTCGTCTCTATGTACGACAAGTTCTAACGCCTATTTAATTAGATGCACCGACCGCATCAATTGACTGCATCAAACTTTAACACGTGTGTGCGACCTCTCTCTGAGTATTCGAGGTAATGTCACTAGCGAATAACGATAATTAGACGCATTTAATTATTAGTTCGTGTTCATCTCTGCATATGTGAAATTCGCTATCCGTCTCTTACATTTCAAATCTTGTTTCCCTGTTGCCTTTCTCGTTAAAGCTGTATTTAATCAATATACTGTAGTTTAATACAAAATGATCACAACAATTATTTAAACTCTTTTTACCACCCCTATCTATATATGCTTAACATATCAGTCAATCAATCAGAGATCACGAACGTTGGGTAGGCCAAACGTCTAACTTCTGTAACTTTTCATGAGACGAACCAAACTCTAATTTTGGTCGACCTAAGTTAAGATCGTCTGCTGGGTCGAACGTCGAACTTAGGACGCGTCCAACCAATCAAATGAATCAGACCAAAAATTATTTTAGCCGGCCAACGGGTGTTCAGTAATAATTTTTTTCCCGAACGTGGCTAAATATACATTATCATACAAATTTTGAATTATTAATTTAGTTTGTCGCATGTGAAGATGGACGTTTGCCCCGGAGACGATCTTCAGACGTCCAATCCGTCAGACGGATAGAACGTGTTGGACGATCCAAACTCATTACTGAGCTAAATCGAGGAATCATCAAACTTTGTACTTAATGGGAATATAATATCACTAAGGCCTAGGCCAGACGTCGAACTTTTTATGAATTTAACTCACTAAGTGCGGTTCGTCTCATGACGTCTCATTCAACGTTTGGCCTAAGCCTTACTGATATTAAATTGCCATTAAATACAACGTTTTAGGATTTCTCGATTTAGCTTGTATATTAATTACTCCACAAACTAGCATGACAATGCCCGCCAAAACGAAGACCCGAGTTGAGCAAAAACAGGATTAGCATCCCACTCAGAAGTTGTTACGGTTTGGTTACACGTTCCTTCCATCATTCGTGGGGAAGGAACACGCGACGAAGCCCTTAGAACATCAGTAATAGCGGAGTTTATTTTTAAATCCTTTGTTGGCTTCTCAGTTTGAGGGTTCAGATAATGGGTAAGGCGTAAACAGAAGTGCGCAGGAAAAAGAAGCGGAAGGGAGCTATGTATTGATGAGAAGGAGCAAACAGCGTCAGTCTGTTAAAATTGAATATTGAAATAGGCTTGAACTCTTACAGATATAGCCGCCAGACCTCAGTCATCATTCTCTTTTGTTTGCAGAAATCGAGTTTGTTCCTAATGAAAGAACAAACAAACTTCCAATACTTTTTCAGAACAGGGCACAGGTTCCGCTAAATAACTGCTCTATACCTGATGACTGGCTGTATCCACTTTGTAAACACAAAATTAAGGTAACTACACTACATATGGCAAAAGGTGTCTTTAACCAATTCTGTAAAACGAGCAAAAGAATGTTTAGGAGAGGCAAAGGAGTCTGTTAGAAGTAGGATGTGTTAATGACTACCGATCCATCGACCTACAGATCCACTGATCTAAACTGGTTCTTAAAACGGTTGGGGCGAAAAACAAATCAAAATTAAGTAAAGAAAAAAAAAACGAGCCCGACATCTCGACATGAAAGGCCAATCTTTTTCACCGGCAACATTTTTGAGTTATATGCGAGAAATGCACTGGATTTGGATGCTGTATGGTGCGACGGAAATCTTACTTTTCAATTTAACATACTTAATACCTCTCTTTTCCAGATGAATCTGATACGCTGGTCTGCACCATCCCAAAAATAATAATCACAATCATAATAATCACAATATACAATTTCATAATTTATAATTATAATAATCATCATCACAATCAGAATCATAATATTAAAAAAGCAAGAGCTCGTTAACCAAATGTAGCACCCTAGTCTAGTTTTGTTTCCAAGAATAATGATAAAAAAATTGTTATCAATAACCTTTGAAATTGTCACAACGCACCCCAAATTGTCATAATTGGGGTATATGTTGCTGTTGATCAATTGCTATCGACGATGGCCAAGGAAATCACGAAGAGAAAGAACTGGTGCAACGTGGAACTGTGGCTGGACTATTCAATACGGGAGAGCGCAGCTCTGCCGCATTCTGGACACTGGTGAATTTCATGGCCAGGTGGCAAAGAGATTAATTTAGACTTGCACAGCTGAAGTTTCCTCTGAGTTTCTGCTCTTCTGCTCTGCTCGAACAGGACAGCGGCGTTGTTAATTTTGCTACGGCAGGTTGGTAGGTCAAGTGCCAGAGTCTCCCAGGTTTCCCAGCAATATCAAAGGCCCAGCGACGTTTTGAGACAGTCCTCGTAGCGCTTCTTCTGTGCACCCAAGGAAAGTTTCTCCTTGACTAATTCGCCATGAAACAATCTTTTTGGGGAAGGGTTTGTGCCATTGTGCTATCACGGCTATTATAGCCCACCATAGCCCACCTAAGCTGGGCTCTTTGGAGCAGAGTGTGTATGCTTGGCATTCCAGCCAGAAGAAGACCTTAGTGTCACCCAAGGTGATCTTCAACTGATTTCTAAGGCAGTTTTGGTAAAATTGGTTAATCTCTTGGATGTGGCGCTCGTATATTGACCATGTTTCACAGGAAATATAGTACTGAAGACAGCACCGCAGGCTTGTAATCCTTGAGTTTTTCCAAGGCAGCTGCTTCTCTTTCCCCAAACCCTATCACCAAGTCGTCCGAAAACTGAACTGGCCTTGGCAATGCGTGAATTGACCTCGTCGTCCATTTTGGCAGATCTGGAAAGTGTGCTGAATACGTACGTTAACCTGTCAAACAATCTTGGGAATTTCCTCTTTGACAGTGCTGGTTGGTATACCACACGCGTCTTCTTCGCAGCAGGCTGGTGTAGAACGTCAGTTTTCTTGGTACTGATTGTACGCCCAAGGTTATCGCAAGCATTGGAAAAACAATCGATGCTCAGTTGCTTATAGGTCTCGGTGGCAGTATTAAGCGCACGGTCACCTGGGAACAGGAAGTGACGCACTGTAACTTCGTTCGCCTTGATCACTACCTGTAGCCTGCGAAAGTTGAATAGGTTTCCAACGAGATACGACCATCGCTTTTTTGTAGACGGCATCCGTCAACATGGCTGTAAACCTCATGTTGAAGAGTGAGGAGGCAAGGACACATCTTTGCTTGACTCAGTTAGTGAGTGAAAATGCTTCAGACTAGTCTGAAATTAATCAAGTACTCGAGCAAGCATGGCGTCGTCGAATTTACGCGCCATGCTCATGAACTTATCTAGACAGCCACACGTTGCCATGATCTTCCACAGGCCCTCGCAACGAACAGGGAAACAGACCTTTGTCAGATCTACAATTGTTATCCAGAGATCTTTATTCTGTTGTTGACGCTGTTCCCGGAGTAACCGTGTAGCAAACAACATGTCCACAATTCCACGGCCCTTCATACGCCACACAGACTTTCTGGGAGGTGGCAATCCTCCAAGTGCTGGAATAAGGAGGTTGGAGAGGACTCTTACAACGATCTTGCCAACTACGATTAGGTGCAGCGTGACAAAATCCCTCCGTTATTGTCGCATGATTGTCTATTTCGCCTTATCTTATCGAGATTTCAATAGAGGCAACCTTGACTTCCTCCCGTTCTAACTTTCTGACAAAAAGCCGCTTGTTAGTCGTTTTCGCATGTGGGCGCCGCCTTGGCCGGATATGCATGTTGAGTTTTGGTCAATTCAGCAGTCTGCGCTGCACAGCCTATCCCTTCTGCCGACTATAACAAAATCGATTAGATACCATTGCTTACTGTGTTGCAGTTGGGCAGACGGTAAATTATGTTGATTACCAAAAGGTCGTGAGATAAACACGTCTTCAAAAGTAATAGTCCGTTGCTGTTGTATTTTCGAACGCCATTCCTCCCAATGATTCTTTTCGAGGTCTTGTCTTCGGAACATTCTATATCAGTGAAGACGTCTCCGAGAACAATGAGTTTGTTTCCTTTTGGTAGACCTTCAACGATGCCTTGTAAGCCGTCGTAGAATTTATCTTTAGTCTCCTCTGGATTCGTCATTGTCGGAGCTGATGATAGTAACGTAGCATGAGACCATCATTGAATCCTTTGAGAAGGTTGTTAAGCTCGCTCCCGTTCCTACCTCACAAAGTTCTTCACTTTAACGACCACTCCAGAAAATTTGTAACCAGATTTGAATGTCGTGACTATCGTCAGCTGACCTTCCAAACAGAGTCTCACTAGGTAAGAATGTTGTTCCCTCGGAAATCTCTCGCAACAATTGTTGTCTGTCTCACAGGTTGTCAGCTTTAGTGCTGTCTCTGAGCTTAAGTGCATTCCATGTGCCGGTAGTTAGTGCTACTTCGTCTTGAAAGTTCGGCGGCATAGATAGCATCCCCTCTTCCCTGATAAGCAGGCCTGGGTAAGACGAAGAAGCGTATGTTTAGGGTAATTTCCCTAATACCTTTTTTAGGCCATGGAAGTTAACAGAGAGATTCCTAAAGAGGACTTCTCCTCAGACACTAAGGGGGATCCAAACTCCACCCTCTGAGTCGGTTCAGTAGAGAGCGATCCTAATGTTATGGGCCGCTTGTGTACAGGTCCTGTGACTACACCTTCCAGTGAATCTCCACCCGCTACTTCGTCATTCTCCAATTGCTACAGGGCTTAAAAGATTCAGGGGGAGGGTTATGCATTGACTTGCTCTACAATTGGATGAAGGCGAGGAAATGTTTCGCATTGTCGTCAGCCTAACTCTCTCGTCCTGAGTTACCTGGGCCAAGCGGAAAGATATGGTCAAGGCGGCTGGAGATAAGGCAGGATGCAGTAGATGGCCACCAGCTTTGACCCTTTCCACTTAAAATATGCATGGTTTTACAATAATTCGAAAAGATTCGGAAACGATTTTGATTAATGAGCCCAGCTTGCCATCACCAGTCAGTGGTACGCTGTTCAGGCACGTTCAGGAGCATGTGGTAGTAGTAATGGGGGCCACCCTGGGCTCGACCAATCAGAAAGCCGGATTTAGGTCACGTGGTACAAATGGACCAATCAGCGTTAAGCAGAAGGTCATGTGACCTGTCAATCAAAGTATGAGCCAATCAGGGCCTAGATGACGTCATAAGGGGTGTGGTCGATGACATCATAGGGGTGTGGTCGATGACGTCATAGGAGTGATGACGTGTTGTAAAAGTGACCCTGTGTCACGTTGGGGTGTGGCCCTATAACCCTATAGCCTTGTTACCCTGACTCTAACCCTAAGGGCTCTTATATATGAAGACGAACCTGATGGCTCGTCCATGTGGGAACCCTAAGAGAGAATTGTCGAGGGCGCATGCGCACTAGAGACATTTGGGTTTTTGGGGGGTAAACGGTGTTCCCCTTGGCCCTGACCCCTAGGGCTAGGGTGGGGCAAGGTCGAGGTCCCCCCCAGGCGGTCACGTGATGATTCCCTAGGGAATTCAAAAAAAGGAAAAAAAAATAAACACATTTTTTTGCACAGGTGTCAAACTCAGTTTTATTACACAAGTCTCGAACCCTAACGTTTACAAACGGGAACGTGTGCCCGACCCTACGGGTGTGGGGCGTCCCTACATGGTTTGAATAAGCGATCCGAACTTGCGGTGGTGGTGCTGGGTGCTGGGGTCAGAGCGTTCACAGGTGACTTCGGAACACGGCTTGGATGTGGAGTAGTCCCTTTTCTTGGTCCTCGATACTGTGGAGGATATCTTGGTAGTGGGCGTGGGTACTGGGATGTTCTTCGGGTGACTGTTCGAACAAGTACCGTACAGTATCTCTGAGGCCTTCCAGGTTTTGCCGGCACGTCTCTAGATTTTGGACACAGGTGGTGTAGGCGAATTCGCACGATCGTCGCTTCTTGTCCGCCACGTGGGGGTCGATCAACTGACGCCTCACTTGTTCGCACATGCGGTTCAGACGGCATTCGTAGCCCCAGTCCAGGTCCATGCTGATATTTTCTCGCAGCTCCCACAATATGTCTAAGTATTCTTCTAGGTAGTCTCGGTTGAAGACCCTGGGTGCCATGATCGGGGACTTGGGTGTGGATCAGGATAGCGACCCAGAAGAAGGCCAACGAGAACACAGTGACTGGCGCGACAAACAGCATGATCCGTGTCGAGGTGCAGGGTCGATGGGAGGGTCTCTTATATGGACCTCTAAGAGGGGGCGCCAAGCCCCTCTGGGAAGGGTCTAAGAGGAGGGGGGATACCCCCCCATCCCCCCTCTTTTTTAGGGGTCGAACAGGGGTGATGGGAAGGCACGTGACCCAGACTATAAGACGTGGGACCGGTCGCGATTCAGGTTGTCTGCAGTTGGTCTTTGTTCAAAGATGGCGGACTCCGTCCCTGACGATTTGCCAGTTTTACCTGACGATGTTTTATTCATGATTGCGAGGATGTATAGATTAGCGACGGTGGAGGAACGCGATGCGAACGGGTGGTGGCAAGTGCGTAAGGAGATGCGCTATTTACCTCGGTGCCCCCAACGCAAGCGCATCATTAACGTGAAGGGGTTCTACGTACCACGCCATGGCAACTTGTTGGAGCCTGTGACGGGGTACTTTTACCGGAGGCTCATTCGTAGAATGTTCGCCACCCAAGAGAGGGATCCAAGTCTGTACCAGTGGTTCAGAAGAACGTTTGGTACCGACGACTACCTCCGTCCAGGCCAGGCGGCCGAGTGGCCCTATATTCACTGCATTTATTGCGGCGAGAAGCACGAGTGTGGCAATGAGGAGGAGGATGAGGAGCGCCAGTACCAGAAAGACCAGCGGGCTTACCGAAAAAAGATGCGGCGCGTGGCGAATGTCTGGGCTCAACGGGACTGGTTGAAACGCCTACGCCCTCGCCGTCCCAAGACCTAAACCCTCTCACCCTCAATATTTAACAGGGACCCCTTTTGGGGTCCCGCCCACATTTGCAAAAGTCAATGATCAACACTCAGATTAAAAAACACATTTTATTGATTATCGCACGGGTCGATCGCGCTGCGCCAATTCTTGCACGTAGCCCTTGTAAGCCTCTCGGTATTGATCTTGCAGGTGAAGGAGCATCTCGGTGTGATCGTAATGAGCTTGCAATCCTCGTCGAATGCGTTCGCGGAGATACTCGTCCAAGGT